CTCAATCTGAATTCCTAGTAATAAAGAAAACACATTTGGTGCATATTCCTTATGTTCTGGTACTCATGCCTCTTTCTCCTTTTGAAGTGAGGCTGGGTTTACCACCGAGATGTGTGTAAAGGAGACAGCAGAGGGTAAGAAAACGGCCTGTGATTATGATAGTCTCCCATCCAGCTGTGTGGAGCAGCTGGTACTGATAAGGTGATTCTCCTCCCCCCTGTGAAGTCTGAGGCAGTCAGCTACCCCTCTGCCCCCCCACCCCCACACCCAGGCCACTTTTACACTGTCCGCAAAGGTAAGTGGGAGAGCCTTCTTTGTATAGAGGGGTTAAGAATACCCTCTTAGAGAGTACCATTCCTTAATGGAAAAAGTAGGAACTGTAATGGAAAAAAATTCTTTAATAAGCCAGGCAAAATATGTGTCTCTTTAGGTCTCCTTAATCAAAGCACCCTAAGGAGCTCAGGGGTGTAATGGTTATGCGTTGTGCTGCGAACTACAGGGCTGGAAGCTTGTAAACACAAGGCATTCAGGGAGAGAAAGATGAGGTTTTCTACTCCCATAAGAGTGACAGTCTGGTGTATGGACAACTCTCTTTAGAAGTGGTTTAACCATGTGAGTGTATGATATTTGACTATCACATCAAGAAAACTACTTTGAAATAAAGAAAGCAGACTTGACCGTGGGTGAAGGAGGAAGCGTTTGGCTTAGGGAGCATAGAGTTTAGGTTGATGGCGGTGGAACAATGGTTGTACAACACAAAGAGCATCATCAGTGGCACTGAATTGTACACATGGAAGTCGTGGAACTGGTAAGTGTGTTGTTGTGAATATTTTTGCCAAAATTGAAAAAGAAATGACATTAATAATGAGTACAGGAGAAAAAAGAAAATGTTCCAAAACTTGATGATGGTCAAGATCATACAACTCTTCTCAATATGGTTGAACTATCGAATTGTATGATATGTGGATGAAGGGCCAATAAGACTGTCTTTTTTAGCAAAGGAAATAAATACATACAATGAAAATTTTAAAAGTCACAAATCTTGGACACCCACGAGGCAGTTCTGCTGTCTCCTATCAGGTCACTGGAAGCTGGGAATGACGCCAGGGCTGTGAGTTTGGTTTTGGTTTGAATCCATGTGCCAGAGAGAGCTCTGGTGGCACACTGGGTTAGGCATTGGGCTGATAACCACAAGATCAGCAGTTCAAAGCCTTATGCCACTCTGCAGGAGAACGATGAGGCTTTCTACTCCCTGAAAGATTTACAGTCTCAGCGGGGAGGGAGGGGGGAAAATGAGGAGCTGATACCAAGGGCTCAAGTAGAAAGCAAATGTTTTGAGGATGATGGTGGCAACCAATGTACAAATGTGCTTGACACGATGGATGGATGGATTGTGATAAGCGTTGTACGAGTCCCAATAAAATGATTTTAAAAAATAAATAAAGAGGACCGTGGACAGCAACATTTTCAGCTGGCCACGAAGTCTGGCGGCCCTTGCCTTGGGTGAGCTGAGTTGAAGGCACCCTACATGTGGTCCATTTAGATAATAAGGAAAACAGACCCTAAATTCTTCAGAGTCCTAGTCAATCCATGTGTAGAACTCTATCACTTACAGATTAATAAATCTATTTTTCTTTCCATGTGCATGATAAGTAAAAATATTTATCTTCATTTACAGAAACATATTCAAATCCCATTTAGAGCCCAAGAAAAAACAACCCTCGTGGGAAATTTTTCATTTTACCAAGAAGCCCTGTTTTTTTCTCCAGACGTATTTGATGTCATTAGAGAGCCTATCTGCACATACATCTACAGTAATCTCTTTCCTTCTTTGCCAACTGATCAGTGCGCATGTGCTTCATCAGAAATGGCACCTGGATGACAGTAGCGAAAAGAGTCACATATGTCTCTCAAATAGACTTCCTTTCCTCTCAGGCTGTCTGAACGGGTGTAAACAGAAAGTTCAGTTGATCTTTATTTTAATTAACAGTATTCTATTAAAATAAAATTGAAAAAATATATAAAATTGGAATTCTATTTTAATTATGTTGCTCTGGCTGCTTACAGTATTAGTTTGCCCCTCTTCACTTGTTAGGGAAATAATGTAGCACTCTGTCTTTGAATCTAGCTATCTTTTACACATAGCCATAATAGCAAAAGTTCCATCTACCCATAATCATTTCTCTTCGGTTACCACTTAAATCAGAATATTACCCATTTGCTTAACAAGAGTACATGTGTCCCTTGATATTTGAGCAAATAGGACTCTTTGCTGGAAATTAAAGAGTAAACGAATACTGTATGCCTCAACAAAAAATAAATTAAAAAAAAAAGATTTATAGTCTCAGAAACCTACAGAGGCAGTTTAGCGCTGCCCAATGGTTGACTCAACGGCAGTGAGTCAGGGAACTGGGGCTTTGCAATTCAAGAAACCCCAACCATTGCTGCTATTGCTTGTGCAGCCACATAAAGCCTAACCACCCCTCCTGAGCTAGCAACACCTTAAGCCAAGAGTTAGAACAAGTCAGCGTCCATCTTAGTAAACTGTGCTGCCATTGATTACGTATTAGGGGCGCCTCGTCATGGTGTGAAGCATTGAAAAGAATATGCTGTTTTGATCTAACTGACACTGCTCAACTCAAAGGCAGGATGGTCAAACGAATGAAAGAGTGGTCTCCAACCAAACGCAGCACCCAGCACCCAGCGTTATCTTGCGCGAGCTGACTTCAGGTTGCCTGACTTCAACCTGCTCCCACGTTACTCAGAGCTTCCTTCTTTTTTTTTTGTAATCACTCTACTTCGTGTCCTTGCATGCCCTCGGGCATTCCTGGTTGACCTGGTGTAAATCAAGACCAAATGGCCAAGGCTTTCACCAGGTTGACCGTATTGTTTTGCCCTCACCCAAAGTATGGCCAGGAAGTTTAATAAAATACAAAAAAAAAACAAACCGTGAAGCAACAGCTATCACTTAATTAATAAAATGTCAATAGCTTCATAGAGGGGGAACTAGTGCTTCATGTTCACTAAAGAAAAAAGCCCACGGCCATGAAGTCACTTTTCAACTCAGAGCGACCTTATAGAATGTTTCTAAAGCTGAAAATCTTCATAGAAGTAGGGGGGATTATGTATGTATGGATTGTTATAAGAGCTGTAAGAGCCCCCAATAGTGATTTATTTTTTTTAAAGTAGGGGGGGATTACATGAATAACAATGAATACAATGAAGAATTGACTTCTAAATTTGTTCTAGAATTGATTGTGGTGATAATTGCACAATTTTTCTTTATATGATTGAGTTGTATGTCATGTGGATAAAGTGCCAATAAAACAAATATTAAAAAGAAAAAAAAAAGAAGTAGATAGCCTCATCTTTCTCCCATGGAGCAGTGAGGGGGTTTGAACTGCCAACTTTGTGGTTAGTAGTCCCACACCTAATGCACAATGGCACAAAAAAAAAAAGAAGAAGAATTCACTGCCATAGAATTGATGTCAATGCAAAACAACCCTATAGGATAGGGTAAAACTGCCCCTGTGAGTTTCCAAGACTAATTCTTTTACAGGAGTAGAAAGTTCTGTGTTTCTCCTGCAGAGCAACTGGTGGTTTTGAACTGCTGACCTTGTGATTAGTAATCTAAAGGGTAACCACTATGCCACCAAAAGAGAAAGGTGGAAAATGGTACCATGTTTATGGACAGGAAGACATAAATATAATGCAATGTTGATTGCATACATAGGGACAGGTCCTTTAACAGCCTGGATTCAGGCAAGGGAGGGGGCTTATCAACTTCTTACCATGATCAAAATTGTTTAAACTTATGAAAGCAAAAGTGTAAAAGCAAGTTTCATACTGCATATTGTACAGTATCCTACAGATGCATGGACATGAGAAAGGTCCTGACAGAGCAGATTGTGGAACAGTTACACCTGGAGGGGAATTGGAAGGTGGGGGAGAAAGGGGGAGCCGATCACAGTGATCTACATAGAACCTCCTCTCTGGGGGATGGACAACAGAAAAGTGGATGAAGGGAGACATCGGACAGTATAAAACATGGAAAAATAATAATTTATAAATTATCAAGGGTTCGTGAGGGAGGGAGGGGAAAAATGAGAAGCTGCTACCAAGGGCTCAAATAGAAAGAAAATGGTTTGAGAATGATGGTGACAACATATGTACAAATGTGCTTGACACAATGGATGGATGGATGGATGGATTGTGATAAGAGTTGTATGAGCCCCCAATAAAATGATTTATTTAAAAGGTCATGGCAGGTTACCCATGAAATGGTGGACTTGGGAGAATTAAGAGGAGTACTTTCACTATGTGTGTGTGTGTGTGTATGTGTGTGTGTGTGTGTGTGTGTGTGTGTGTGTGTGTGTGTGTGTGTGTGTGTGTGTGTGTGTGAAATGGTTTTACTAATGAAGACGGTACAAGATGAAGAATTATTTTGCTCTGTTATACACTGCTACCATGAGTGGGAAGCCGCTTGACAGCAACTAGCAACAATAAATGCATTACTCTAGGAATCATTTCTTTTACTCTAATTCCTTAACGGTCATTTTTAAAGGTGAATTTTAGAGTGGGCGTGGCATGTAGAGTTTATCCAGTGTGGACGTTGTTGGTGCTATCCTCCGCTCAAGGCATGTCTACATCTATTTTGAGTCAAGACAGACTGAAAATGGATCAAAGTGCCTGTCTCTTCCGCTTGACAACCATTAATCACTGGCCTGGCCTCGGTGGGGACTTTTACCAGCCCTCCCCTGCCGTTCTCAGGCTGGGCGTAGAGCCAGGGTGTCTCCTGTCACCTCTTGTAGAGGAGACCCTACGACAGGGGTAACTGCTTCCCTAGAGAATCTTTGGGCCTGGTGTAGCCCTCAGGGCCCCCACCCTTGTCTGCTCCTGCATGTCAAGACGCTGGAAGTAAATCACGTGTCTCCTGCCCTCTCCTCCCGCGTTTCCTGCAGCTACATTTCCCAGTTTCAGATAACCAGGCCACACAGACGTCCAGCCTTTTTTCGTCTTCATTACAGAGGTTGAAATGGTTCATCACGACAATGAATTGTGGAAGGAAACAGGGCTGTCTGCCCTCCAGGCTCCGAACCCACAACCATCACCTCCGACCGAGCCCCTCAGCTCCATCCCCTGTGCTCCGTTCTTCTTCCTTCCTGAAAAAACGTCCAGTGGAGAAGGGTGGGGGGAGCTGGGTCAGGTCAGCTGGGCGGTGTGCGAGTCTCAGATTTGTGGTGGGGGTCCTCCGCGGTGCGGGTCCGCTTGGTCTCACACACCCAGCGGTGGACTCCCTGGCAGTGATCAACATTCCAGGAGCCACCCGCCTTCATTTCCACACAGTCTTCGTCTCTGTTGGGATCCGGCTCCTGCCGGGGGTATGACCAAGCGTTAGCCCAGTTCCTAAAAAAGGCAGGCGGAAACTCCAGTTTAGGGCCCCCCAACATCCTTGACTGACCCTCAGTCCCCACCCCAGAAAAGCAGAGCGTGGGAGTGGCCCAGGGAGCAGGAGTGACAGCCACAGAAGTTGGGAGCCTGGGATACCTGTAGCAGGTTAAAGGAACGGAAATACTCTTTCGACTGCCATGCCTTAGACATTGGTTCATGTCTTGCATTTGAAGGTGCCCAATAATTGGCAACTTAAAACTACTGCGTACTTGCTCTTTTTAAACTCTTTGCTTTTTATCGCATATCTTAGTCCCACAGACGTGGTTTTGCCTGAGTGTGATCGGAAGTGTTTTGCCTCTTGTCCAAGGCTCACTCTTTTCCGTGTTTAGTCACTTAAGCTGCTAATCTGTACAAGTCAACAATCCACCCCATTTTAGTCTAAAAAAAAAAAAGCTTTCCTACCTAAGTTTATTTTCCTTTTCCAAATAGTATGCTAAATTCTATAACATTAGCTAAATTAATGACATTATCAATAGAACTATCAAATGTCCCATGGGGATTATTTACAAAGAGCCCCCAATAAAACAATTTGTAAAAAAAGAAGAAGAAAGAAAGAAACTGTTTCTAAAGTGGAACAGGGAGATACAAACCATAGATATACAAATGGGTTTTGAGCTCTCACTTAATCATAAACCCTAATCTAAGAATAATCTGATTTTCTGATGTGGCCCTGCTCACACTCACCCTCAGGCAGTGATCACAGAAGAGATGGATGTGAGACAGACGAGCAAAAGCAACTCCATTTTTCAGCTGCTGAAATACCTGCCTCCTTCCCCCTCCCATCTCAGAAAGTCCCAGTCGTGATTGATTTTAGAATGGACTCTCATGTACCCAGGTCTGGACCTGCAATTAGTTTAGACTATTCTTCCATATAGTGTTTGCTTTAATATTGTCCCTTTTGTGGTTGCAGTCTGAATGGTGTCGTTAATCTTGTGATGGTAACCAGGATGTGGTAGTCAATTTCGGCATTGTTTCTCTTATGATCAGGAATGTACCTTGTAAGGCAGGCTTGCTCTTCTCCAGGTTACCAGAATGTTATAATTAATGGTGTACCCTGGAACACTCCTTAACCCTAAAGAGTAATAGCATTAATTTTGCTTTCTGCTTCTGTCCACACTTGCTTAAGTCTTAGACAAAGGATAAATGAGTTTTTTGCCTTTAAAGATAAACTTAAATGTGGACTTGGGACTGCAATCGCTTAAAGAATTGCTTTTAGATTCTAGCAGTCCAGTTATAACCAAATAAAGACTCTTCTAAATGATCAAGACGTTATAGTGGCTGTCATTTATTTGACCCCAAAACAGGTGCTATAGCAAAGTGTGGCGTACAAATCAAATGGTGCCCAGCTATCAGAAAGAATAAGTTCTGCGGTCTTAGAGGCTTGTCTTGGAAGCCATCTAAATAAAATGTCACCTAATGCCACAGGGAAGAAGCACATCAGCCAGGATGATCAAAGGATCATTAACCAAAAAAATCCAAGATCAGAAGGAAATGCTGTATTAGAGCTTAAATTCTGAGCACTTAGTTTGCAGAAGGCTAAGGATGACAGTGAAAGCCCAAAGTCCATTTGCAGACACACACACACACACACACACACACACACACACACACAGGGACTAAGCCTCCATTAAGCCCCCTTCAGTCCATGGGCCATGGATGTGGATAGGCTAGTCCCCAGACAGAGTACAGTGGAAAGTGGATCTAGTTAGGTTAAAATTTAACATATTCCCATTCAGTTATTTTTCCTTTTGACCCATTTTTGCTTGCTCTACGTTTAATTGATAACTCTCTGCTATCTTTTGAGGGAGTCCTGGTGGCAGTAAGTTTGACTTTGTTAGAAAATAAGCTTCTGTTTATTAAATCCATCCAAGTGTGGTATTTCTGTTACAGCAACACTAGGTAATTAAGACAAGAGAGTTGGGGGATTTGGGCCCTCAGGGATTGGGTAAGAGGAGAGTGGATCAAAAGCCCAGGTGATGGTCCCCAGGTCAGACTAAATAGCACATACAGGAATTGGGGGTGGGGTGGGGGTATCACTTACATGTAGCCATTCTCATATTCGGTTCCATCCACCCACTTCCAGGAGTTGTTGACATTGCTAAGTCCTATCCAGGTATCAAAAGGGTTTATGTGTTGTTGAAGGAATCTCTGGGAAAACAGACCAGAGAGAAGTTTCTAATAATTTCCACCCTCAACCTTAACCTTGATCCATCTCAAGCTAAACCAGTAACATCCAACATGACTAGTTTTCCTTGCTTTTCTTTCATAGCCATAACTATTGTTTGGTGAGCATTTACTAGGGCTGGATTAGTCATCGTGTTCTTGCTATTCCACCTTTCTCCTTCCCCTCTTCATTCTGGGTGATTTCCTCAAATCCCTCTTCTGTACCTCAGACTTGGTTTTTTTCTACTGAGTTGAGAATTTATTTAAAATAGAGATACAATTTTCCCTTTCATTTCTTTCCTTATCATTCTGTTGTCTTCTATGATATTTTCTTTGAAATACTGTTATTCTTCTCTTAATCCGTGCATATTGAAAACAATTACATTTAGAATTAGCCAGCTGGATTCGGTTTAGATTGTCTTAATTTTGTTAGCAACATCCAAAGCATCATAGTCAGAAGCCAGTCCAACACACACACGTATATATATCTTCCCCCAGTGGGCCCAATCAAGGTGGTTAATCTTAGCTATGTCAATGTCAGGGAGCTTCTTCACAGCCAGTTTCATCTGCTGCTTATTGATCTTGTTATCCACAACGAACACATGTGTTGTAACCTTGGATCCCCTTCATGGCCAAATTAGTGACCAGGGAGAATTTGATGGTGGTATAGTGATCGGCTTGTTTCTCCTGGTACTGCTCTTCTCGGGAGATTTGGCCTTTCTTCAGTCACAGCATTTTAGGTGGTTGGGAAGTAGATTATTAGCATTTCCTTCTCTTTCTCCTCCGCCTCCTCCGCCTCCTGCACTCCTGCTGCTGCTGCTCGCTGTTGTGAACGTCTTTCAGCATTGCCTTCTCGGCTGTCATTGCTTCTGCCTTGACTTTGCTTGTGGAAGGGCAGGGTTTTCTTCTTCACTATGGGTGCCACCGTCATTTAAAGAGAAGGCTCCTCTTTAATGGTTTTGGAGGAGGTAAAGAGGGTGTTCTCCAATATCCCTGTTTCCTTTTCCAAATTGGAGCTTTGCTCTCTCTTTTGGGTACTGTATTTCTTCCCTCCTCTGCCTTCTTTCTCCTTCTTTCTCTCTTACTTTAAAAAAGGAATTCCAATGCTGATTTTGCTCCCTGCTGCTTTTATGAATGGGTACAATTCTTGGGTGTGAATAGGTGGGGTGGATCTTTTGGACTGCATGTTCGGGTCATGATTCGATATGTCACCTTTGTTTTCGGGCGTGAAAGGCTGGTATTGAGGGCTTCTTTTCTCCTATCCAGGAGCCCCAGTGGAGCAGTGGTTATGTGGAAAGAGCGACAGTCTCAGGGACCCACCAACACCATTTTACCGTGTCCTGGAGGTCCGGGTGACTCAGCATCAACCGGATGGCAGTGAGTTTGGTTTGGGTTTTATTCTTCTAATCAGTTGTTCAGCTTCTGCTGTTGGAAGAGGGGTTCCTGGTAATGGTAGCAGCAAATAAAATGCCTTGACTCCATTCACATTCTTTCCAACTCGATGCCTCTGAATTTGGGGAGCATCCTTACCAGCCTTTGAGGGGTACTCCGACATGCATAGCTCACTGTCTTTTTGCAGGGTCTTCAATTCCGAGTGCTACAGTTAAAGTTGGGAGGAAGTTGTGTCAGTCTGCTTCCATAAAGATTTATGGCCTGGCCATCTGTGGACAATTGGACATGCCCTCACAGAAGGGTCACAAGGAAGAGACGAGTCGGTCAGGGTGCAGTATAGCAGTGATGAAACATACAACTTTCCTCGAGTTCGTTAATGCTTCCTCCAGTCCCCCACACCCACTGTCATGCCCCCAATTCTACCTTACAAATCCAGCTAGACCAGAGGATGTACACTGGTACAGATAAGAACTGGAAACACAGGGAATCCAGGCCACATAACCCCCTCAGGACCAATAATGAGAGTAGTGATACCAGGAGGGAAAGGGGAAGGTGGGGGAAGAAAGGGAGAACCGATCACAAGGATATACATATAACCTCCTCCTTGGGGGACAGACAACAGAAAAGTGTGTGAAGGGAGACATCAGACAGTGTAAGACATGAAAAAGTAATGCTAATTTATAAATTATCAAGGGTACATGAGAGGGGGGGGGGAAGAGGAGCTGATACCAAGGGCTCTAGTAGAAAAAAAATGTTTTGAAAATGATGATGGCAACATATGTACACATGTGCTTGCCATACAATGGATGGATGGATGGATTGTGATAAGAGCTGTACGAGCCCCCAATAAAATGATTTTTTTTTAAAGGTGTGTGACCTTGGACACCCTTTGGCCAGCTCTACTCTCTCCCAAGGAGTTGCTGGGAATCAGAATCGACTCTCTGGCAATGGATGAGAGATGCAAGGGTAAGCTGTTCTCAGTTGCACCTCTAGGGCAGGGGTGGGGAACCTCTAACCCACAGGCCTTATACCAGCTAACCATACCATAATGCCTCACCAAGGAGAAGCAGCTCGCGTCATCGACTGGAGGTGAGTTAAATATTAGACCAGCATGGCCCATGAATGATATTCTGAATATCTAAATGGTCCTTGGCAGGAAATAGGTTCCCAGCCCCTGCCCTAGGGGATGAGAACAGAATTAGACAATTTCTCTCCACCTGCTGTGGGAAATCCTTAACGTGCTGGCAAAGGGAAGTGTCGGGTGCACACGTCGATTAATCCATCCTGCTGTTTCCTCCACACAACTGGGCAATTACTGCTTTCCCAAACCATGGGGCTCACGTCCCAGAAATAGGCATGACCGTAAGAGAAAACCGCGTGGCTGGGCTCTTCAAGGTGAAGGTGCAGGTGGGTCCTGGAGATGCTCAGAGACTACTTCTGTCTCAGCCCAGGCCAGCCACGGGAGCAGCCAGGGGTCTCTCCTGTTTCAGGGCAAAGAAGAGTGAAGAAAAAACAGACTCCTGGAAGCAGCTCACCCCAGGAACTCCTGGACCCCACGAAGCCAAGCCCCCCTGTTGCAATTGCCTTCATTCTCCTTCCAGTTAACAGGGCAGATGGCCCCCCGCTGATCTCCTGCGCTTCCCAAGCACCTCCACTGGCCTGTGGGGAGGTGAAGGCGCCCTGGTGAGGTCGTGAGTGACCAGTTGGCCTGCTAACCCCAGGGGCAGACATTCAAGCCCACCAGATGCTCCACAGGAGAAAGAGGAGGCTTTTATCCTGCTGTAAAGACTGACAGCCTCAAAATCCCACACAGGCAGTTTGACTCTGTGTGTGTGTGTGTGTGTGTGTGTGTGTGTGTGTGTGTTCACTATGAGTCAGAATTGACTCGAAAACAGTGAGTTGGGTTTTTTGGTTTTTCTTTTTTTCTTTTTGGAAAGGCTTGGTCCCTGAGTGGCACAAGTAGTTTGCCACGGGCTATTAACCTAAAGGTTGGCAGTTGTGCCAAGCCAGAAGCACCCCAGCAGAAAGGCCCTGTGCTCTGCATCTGTCAAGGTGACAGCCGAGCCAACCTGGTGGAGCCCTTCTGCTCCACCACACGGGGGTCTCCATGAATGAGAGTCCCCTCGAGCGCAGGGAGTCCAGTCGGGGGTGTGATTGGTAAGGAAATGGACTCACCTGCTCGTCCCTGGAGTTGACGACAACCAGGTGGGCATCCTCCAGCGTGCAGTACAAGGTGGCAGCGGTCCAGCTCGCTCCAGTCTGAGAGAACCAATAGCAATTGCCTTCATGCTCCTTCCAGTTAACAGGGCAGCACTCTGTACCTGACGGCAAGGGACAGAGGACGATGAGATCCCATGGAGGCAAGAGGAAGGACAACACGGGGCATCCCCACTGACTCCCGCTTCCCTGCGTCCTACCATTGCTTAGAAGGTACTCGGCCTGACATTTCAGGATGCGCAGGTCAGCTGGGAAGTGCTTCAAGTGAAGTTGCACACTGGCATGATCTAGGACAGATGAACAGGAGCATTGTGGACAGAGACAGTCTGGGCTCCCACCAACCGGCACCAGGCCCAGGAGCCCTGATTTGGGCTGCGGACACATAGTAGCAGCCAGGGAGGGATAGCGCACCTGATTTCAGGTCCCGGCTGTGATTCTCCAGCTTTGTTGCCATCAAGGTCACCGTGTCACTGACATTGCTTCCTGAACGAGAAAAGCGACATCTTTTCCTCTCGATTCTTCTTCCTTCATACCCCTCCAACCTCACTGCCACCGGGGCACAAGCTCTAGCCGCCAGCGTCTTTTCCTGGGACCGCTGGAGACTCCACGCCTGGCTTTCCTGACCTCATCCGTTCTCTCGACACAGCCAGCGAGGTTGCTCTGAAGCATAGACCGAATAATGGGTCTACTCCCTGGCTTAAGACCCCCCAAGGGCTCCTCCGCATCTTCTCAGTTCTCAAACTCACGCCTCACTTACGGAGCCTGGCTTTGACACGACCTGGCCCACCTCACTCGTAATCAGCTGCGGCCGCACTGGGATGGACAGCTCACAGCACGAGCCGTGCTTTGTTTTGTTTTCTTTTGCAACCCACTGGCTGGCATAGATTCTGTTCTCTCTGCCTGGGGCTTCCTTGGCACCTATCCAACTCCTGCTCAACCTCGAAGGCAGCGGTTCTCAACCTATGGGTCTCGACCCCTTTGGCGGTCAAACGACCCTTTCACGGGGGTTGCCTGATTCATCACAGTAGCAAAATGACAGTGATGATGTAGCAATGAAAATAATTTTATGGTTAGGGTGGGGTCACCACCACAGGAGGAACTGTACGAAAGGGCCGGCGGTGTGAGGAAGGTGGAGAACCACTGCTCTAAGGCATCTCGACTCAGGCCTTAGCATTTCTGGGGCACTTTGCCCTGTGTCTCAGGCTGGGTTCTCTGCTCTCCTCCGCACCTCCAGTACTCTGGACCCCTCCGTTGCAGACTCTGGACCAGGCATCTGCCCTGTGCCCCAGATCTGTGTGAATTAACAAGCAACCCGCCCGCCTTCCCAACCCTCCGGGTGAAGGGCCCACTCACCATGAGAGGTGAGACTCTGGATCTCCCCAGAGACACTCGATGAGAAGTTGCTGAAAGCTTCTTTCAGGAGCTGTAGCTCTGTTTGCAGCTGTGTGCCTTGTCAAGAGACCACGGGAATAGGACAAGGCGGAGGGGCGTGGATCCCTGTGGCAGCATCACCACTGTCTAGGCAACCATTCCGCCACAGCCTATCTTTTCCTTCATCACTGTTGTTCGCTGCCTCGGAGTCACCCCTCAACTCACGGTGGCCTCCTCCACCACGGAATGCCACTGTCGTGCTCCATCGGGGGTTCGGTCACCGAGAGAAAGTGACCGGCTTTCAGAAAGAGATCACCAGGCCTTTCTTCCTAGTCCATCTTAGTCTGTAAGCTCCACTGAAACCTCGTCAGGAGCAGAGTAGCCTACAAGCCTCCATCCTGGGGATGGATGAGTCGTGGCTGCAGATCTGGCGCATTAGCTAGGACGCACACCAGGACTCCTTCACAGAAGACGAGAACTCTACCACTGAGTCAACAACCCTGCTGCTTCCTGCATCCTGAAGCCCGTAGGCTCCCCATCACTTACCCCCATCTTGGTTCCCACAACTGCTTCATGACCACCCTCATCACTGCCCTTGTTGCTTCTCTGTCCATTGCCCTCAAGCCCTGCCCACTCCTTGTCCTCCACTCCCTTAGTCCTGCAAACATCATTGCCCACGCACCGCCCCTGACCGCCTCCTTCTTTCCCTATCACCATGCTCACTGCTCTTCACACGGGTTCCTGACGGCCTCCACTGTCATACTCACTTTGAGACGTAGTCACACAGGTGATCACCAGCAGCAGGGCGTTGAAGCCCAGAGTGAGCACACTGAGGCGGGGCCAGGAGCAGAGACGCTGCAGAAAGGGCTTCGGAGGAGGCATCGCTGTGAGAGAAGAGTTGGCAAGAGGAGGGGAGAATGTCTGATGGGCATGGGAAATAGAGAGTGAGGTCGATGGAAGCAGAAACGGAAGAGAAGCGCGACCTGGGCTGAGGGGAGGGACACTCAGTGGTGGAGATTCAGTGGGCTTGACCGCAAACATTTAGGCTTTGCACACGAATACCTGCCCAGACACCTCTGCAGGCACACATAGTTATTAACATGAACACATCCAAACGTGCCCTGCCCCTTTACAGGTGTACACAACGTGTACATATGCACGCGGACACACAATGTCCATGAAATTCCACTCTTGAAGTTGGAAGACAGGAACATGCAGAGATGGCTGGGGGGACAGACCTGGCCAATCTGGTCACAAGTCCTGAGAAAGGGGGTCTATGATTGGGTGTCCCTTTCTGTCCAACCAGTGGGAGGGGCTACACATCACCTCTGACCTTCTTGGCCCCTGCTGTGCTGGTCTTTGACATGAATCCCTGGATGCTGGGCCCTGTGTTCCTCTTGGACTCCGCATTGGGCCATTCAAACAAGTCTAGGGCTGAAATTACGCCTATCCCTCAAAGTCTAGGTCATTTCCCCATGGACCACTCCCCAAAGGCTACGCCGTAGATTCCATCCCTCTTCATCTCCCACCACTCAGCCGCTCCTCTCCCCATCTCTCTGGGCCATTGCTGCCTTAGCAACCCTAGTTCCATTGTAAACTCTTTCCCTGTAGCTCTCCACCATCACACATCCCCCCCTTTCACAAAGTGAACCTGGACCAAATACACACAACCACTCACACACATTGGTACACATTCTTACACATACTTTCCCTACTATCTCATAAAACACACACACACATTCTCGTGTTCTCACATTTGTCCACACATATTCCTCGCTCACACTCATACCTGCATGAACACACACATTCTCTCATGCACACCTGCACATACTTACTGTTGTACAGATTCATGCTCTCTCTTTCTCATCCACATACCTCAACACACACTTAGGCCCACATAGTCACACACACAGCTGTCTCACCCGTCCTGCTGTCCCTCCAGCCCAGGAGGAGGGACTGTGCTTCTGGCCCCAAGACCTTGCATGACTACCACCCAACTACAGACTAAACACCTCCTCTTCTTCACCTCAAATCGTGATTCTGTGATTGCTCTCCTTCCTCAACACCATCACACCGAGGCGCCCCATAGTCTTGTCAATGTGAGGCAGAAATCCCAAATCCTCTCCTCAGTTTGTCTCCTGCCAGCATCCTTATTGGACATGTTCTGAAAACTGCCATGCATAACCTTGGCCTCTTCGCCCCTCATTGACTATCACCCGCCTCCACTTCAGTCCCACTTGGGACCTCATCTTGGCCCTGTAGGCCACACCTCAGATGCCCTGACTGCCAACTCTAATGGCTCTGCCACTGCTCACAATCTTCTCCACTCAAACAAGACTCTGTGATTGAGGGTCCGGCTGCTCTCCTCAGTTCATTTAGTGGACCCTTGTCCACTGCCCAGCCTAATCTATGAACTGGGTCAGCCCAGAAACATAGTTCATTGTTTCTGCCCTAGCACTGACAGCTCACAAGTGTATTCCAGCTCACCACCAGCTAATTCTGAAACCAGGCACAAATCATTCAATTTCTTAGCGTCTCCATGATCTCATGGTTAAAATAAAATAAGAGTACTTATCTCAAGGAATTAATGAAAATCAAAGGAAGGGTATAAAGGTATAAATATAGGTATGTACATATGTAAATATATTAATATATAATAATAGGGACATAGATCTATGTACATATATGTTAAATATTAAGGTAGCAGATGGACACTGGGCCTCTACTCAATTATTCTCTCAATGCAAGAACACTTTGTTCTAACAATCTAGAATTCTGTGATGCTCACCTTCCCGACACAATCACTGAAGACAAAATAGGTGCATAGGCAAATGTGGTAAAGAAAGCTGATGGTGCCCAGCTACCAAAAGATATAGCGTCTGGCATCTTAAAAGATTGAAGGTACACAAGCGACCATCTAGCTGAGAAGCAACAAAACCCACATAGAAGAAGCACACCAGCCTGTGTGATCAACAGGTGTTGATGAGATCGGGTAGATCCAGAACAAACAGTCATATCGATGTGAATGGGGGTGGGAGTGGGTGGAGATCCAAAGCCCAACTGTAGAAAATTGGGTTCCCTCACAGAAGAGTCTCAAGGAAGAGGCGAGCCAGCCAGAGTGTAGTATAGCACTGAAGAAACATACAACATTCCTCTAGTTTTTAATGCTTCCTCCCCCTCCCCACCCCACTATCATGACCCCAATTCTACCTTACAAATCCGGCTAGACCAGAACATGTACATGGGTACCGATAAGAGCTCTCAATACAGAGAATCCAGGACAGATAAACCCTTCAAGAACAACAGTGGGAGCAAGGTTACCATGAGGGTAGGGGGAGAGAGGTGGAATCGATCACAGTGATTGACATATAACTGCTCCCCACCAAAAGGGGGACGAACAACCAAAAAGTGGGTGAAGGGAGACAGCGGTCAGTGTAAGATATGAAAATAATAAAAATGTATACATTATCAAGGGTTCATGAGGAGGAAGGGTGGGGGAGGGAGTAAAAAAATGAGGAGCTGATACCAAGGGCTCAATTAGAAAGAAAAGAATAATGGCAACATATGTACAGGTGTGCTTGACACAATGGATGTATGGATTGTGATAAGAACAGTAAGATCCCCCAATAAAATGATTGGGGAAAAAAGAGTACTTATTTCATCAGTTGTTCTAAGAACTAAATGAATTACATATACACATATAAAGTGCTGCTTAAATAAGTTGGGAAGTAAAAGGAAGGGTCTATCTCAGAGAAACAGGGACCAGACTTGCCTTCTACCAAAAAACGACCCCCCACCCCACCCCAAAGTAATAGACAATCATAAAAACCAACCATTGTCAAGCTATTGGACATCAGTCAACAGAGAACAATGGAATGATTTCTGAGCGCTGGGAAACAAGTGAGCCCTGTGGTTGCCCCAACGTCCAACCTGGAGGTTTTCATACATTCAGGGAAAAGGGGCCTCCCTGGGTTGGGAGACAAAGCTGAGAGACAGGAAAGACCAATAGAGCTAGAGGTCACAGGACAGAGCACAAGCAAGCAAACACTGCCCAGAGAGAGAAACTTAGAGATCTGCAGAGTTTTCCTTTAACAATTAGCTGCATCATTTGTATTGCATATAAAGAAATCATCTATGGCCAAGAAAAAAAATATGAAAAGATTAGGGAACAGTGCCTGACAATCATACAAAGGCAAGAATAGTGCCAATTCCCACCAGCCAGATAGAAAACCTCAAAATTCTCAGAGTCTTGGGTAAAGTATCTCAAGGAGGTCTTTCTTCAGTTCCAAAGTAAAATTATCCCTGTACTGAGCACTTTCCAAACCACATGACAAATCATAAACAAGGACCCAAAAGGATCCATCAGTGTTCAAGCAACATAACTGCATCCGAAAAGAAAACTCAAGAATATTTGGAAGAATGGAGGGGAAAAAAATGTCTGTGAATCAACAGAATGCCATACACAATGTCTAGCACCACTCAAAGATCACCAGGCACACAAAGAAACAGGAAAATGCAACCCATGGAGGAAGATTTACAAAATCAATCAAGATGGATTCAGAATTGACAAAAATGTTATGATTAGAAGATAAGGCCAACCAATCCAGAGAAGACCACATGGTCGGCCCCACTATGAGACACCACACCCCTCACTGACCCATAGCCCTACAGGGGACAACACGGAAGACACAGTGTGGGGATTGTGCCCAATCTGATCCCACCACACCGAGGAAAACACTAAGGGCGTGCAACAGAACAACAAGGGGAACAGAGCAATGAAGTCCCCAGGGAATACCAAAAATAGACTTGGAAAAATAGACTTTGGGGCCAGGGCTTGGCACCCCATCAGACTCGACTGGCAAACACTCCTAAAAGGCCAGCAATCAGTCCTTGCACTAACTACAGACCTTTCTTCTTTGAGTTGTTTGTTTTGCTGGGGTTTTTTGTCTTTGTTTTTTTGTTGTTGTTTTGTTTTCTTTTGGTGGTTTATTTTGCTCTGTCTTGTTTTTGTGCATGTTATTATCTCTGCA